TTTGAAAGTACATGGAGACAGTTTATGGCCAAAGTAATCGACATTGAAATTTATACGTTTAGCCATGTTTGCCTACATTTGTTTCGTACTTTCAATTAATAATGCACTTGTTGAGAATATATATTCATAGGCTCATCTTTATATCCAATAAATGCACAATAAGAAACAGAATACAGTTTTCTGGCTTTTGCTTTAACATAATGTTATTGTAAAAATCTGAGAAAAATTACAACTGTGAAAGAAGCGATCTAATTACTGTACTATATCTTACAGAAAAGAAAATTGCACTTATTGTTACAAGGTTTGTTCCTTTCATAATTAGAGATTTCACTGATAGATTAAATCTGAAATTTTCAACGTTATGTCAGTATATAAATAGATTTAAATATGTTTGTTTAAATTGGCCTTTTATTATAATTTCACAACATACATGGGAATATATATATCAAAAATTTAATCTAGAAAATTTCCTATTACATTATTTTCATTCTCAGTTGTCGTACGCAATATATTCTAAGACAGCTTACTGTACTCTAAGTTTGTTATAAAGTAATGCAAAAGCTCATTTGACCAGTAGTGCTGTAAAAAAAAATTTGAAATTTCTTCCCTCTTTGCACTGCCTTTAACTACAATATTTCTAATCAATAAATGTTTGTTTATGTTTTTATTTACATGTAAATTTGAGTTGATCACAAATGATGATCTTAAAATATTATGAATGTATATAAAGGATTCCTCATCGTGAATTAAGTAATTGTAGTTAGATAAGAGAATGCTTGATAAAACTTCAATAATTTTAAAATCTCCAAATAACTTCTTTTATAATACTATATATAATTAAATAAACACCAATTTTACCGCATTTTATTATTTACAATTCCGTTAATACCTCGAAAGTTACATGAAAGATGGGACCAACGAAAAGCCTGTAAGTCGATGGTCTAATTTAGTCCTGGGTCCTGTCTTATTTAAATGAGACCAAAAGCTGAAAAATACTTGTTTAGCAAAAATATATGTCCTAAAAGAATGCACTTTTCATACAAGTGCATTCAGTCATCAATGCAAAATAATATTTAAATAAATGTGCTTTGTAAAATGAATTTATTTTGATCCCGATAGCTTCATAAAATTTAACCTAATTCTTTGGCTACTCAATTTATAATTATGAAGCAGGTGAAAAAGAAGAAATAAAGAACACAATATCCGTCCTTCGCTTTTCTTGTACAAGCCGGTAAAGTGGTTAAAGACCCTGACCGCCGTAAGTACGGGTCCGGTTTCGAATTTCGGAGATGGCATGGATGCAAGTGTCCATCCGTTCATAAGAGGCAACGGTGGCCACGTATTAGATGCTTCAGTAATGAAATGGCCACCACTTCTGGCCCTTGTAGCTCTCGCTAGGCTAGTGGCTATTAAATAGAGCGACAAGGCATTCAAAAAAATGAAACTGTAGCTGCTCCTATGCATATAAACGTAGAGCAGTTGCAATGCGTGTGAACCCAGTTGTAACTTAACTGCAGTTTTTGAAGAGAGGTGTGGAGCTTTATAGAACTTAGAAGAAATTATTATGTTTTCATATATATTATTTCCGTAAAGCGCAGATATAATATATAATCTCTAATACATATAGGAACAGTAATGTTTTGTTTATCATTAGGAGGTATGAGTGTTTATCATTAGGAGGTATGGGATACTAGAAGTTCACGATTGGTAGTACAGGTGTTCTCTTCACCAATTTTGATGGAGAATAATCCGAGAGGGTCTCTCACCCCCTATTTCCGTAACATCAACCAGTCGAGAGGATTTGCCATCTTGCCGAATATTTTGAGTGCCAACATGCTGCATAGACAGTTTATGCCTATAAACATCCATGCCTTCTGCGGGATTCGAATCCAAGCCCAAAGATTTTTCTTGAATAATAAGCTTTAATAATAATTTCACAGTTTCTCTCTTTTTCTCAATTTTAATCACTAACCTGGAGTTACTGTAATTATCTACCATAATCAGAAGTAACAGTTTCTATCTATGGACTTCTCGATCGGTTCAACTAAATCGCTATGCCCCTAATTCTAAATTATTTTCAGATTGTTTGAATTTCACACTTCTGTAAAAAAAATAAGGCACCGCGTAACTTCGAGTTCACATAATTTGAAATATTATAGTAATATGTTATCTCATTTGTGTTTTAATATTTGATTATACTGTCATATAACTGTCTTTTCTTTGCCATTAACGCTAGATAAAAAAAATAGATTCATCGACAAGTGGCGTCAGGCGAAAAAACATACAAAAAAAAATCTGAAAGGTTTCAGATTTTAAATTACGTCCAAAGGGGCGTTTTTTAACGTTTTGTGTGTTACCTTTATTTATTAAATATCATGTTCTTTGCACTTAAACCTTAAAATTTCTGTTCAATAGCAATGTCTCAAAATAATTTTTAAATGAGCATATCTTTAGAATTTCCGATACACGGTTCCACGCGTTGGGGATAAAAAAGTTTTTTTGTTTTTTTGTTCCCGTAGAGTGTTGCCATTGCTCGCTTTTAAATCGTTGACGTTGAGTCTGTTACTCAAAAATCCCTTTAAATTTTACAAAATAGAAAATCGGTAATAAAACAAATTCCAAATTTCAAATTTGGGCTTCCACATGCCCATATTCGTAGGAGGATGACGTCATTCAAAATTCGATGGCTGTATGTACCGTTGTTTTATAACAATGCGAGGAATATACATACATTATAGCAGATTTTTCATTATTTAATTTCTTCAAATATAATGCAGGACTCTAACATTTGGTGGCAACAGTTTGAAAACTGATTCGCCGTTTATAGTGTTTCAACGCAAAATCGCAAAATGAAAACAATAGTCCTTCAGGGACAAAGCCTCTTTGGACATTGAAAAATATCTTTTAAACCTTTATAATTTCCGTGTAGATTGCTAAGCTGGGATCTTTAAAGCATCTTTAATCCCTCCTTCTTTTTTTTTTTTTTTTTTTTTTCGGTTTCTCTAATAAGTGGTGTATATTACAGCATGCCGAAATTCCAATGGATAGGAAATTTACAGTTTGCTCTGCTTTGTCCACCCTGCAAGCTTGATGCACTACTGGTTTCGTGGAAAATTGAAAGAACAGGCTCTCTCATCGACCGCAATCAAGTGTTGCGGCCACTTGGGCATCACCAGCTCTTTAAATGGTGCTGCGAACCTGGTGACATGTGATCATTACACACGTGCGATATAATCCCGAATGGGAGAAGCGGGAGAAGCTGAGGCGGTCTCGGTAATGGAAGGTCGCATTCGTAGCGTTTGTCAAACTGTCACCGCCCCATAAAATTAATAAATGGGTGAAAGGGTATAGGGCGTTGACAGGCTAAGGGACGTTATGTAGTCTGTGTTTACCTATAATTATCATAAACCACTTTTTGAATGCTAAACATTCTTTAGAAGAATTTATTCTTATGGAAGTAATACCCCGTGTTGTTACCAACTGTACTAGTCTCCGTAGAAGATATTAAAAAGGCGTATTTATTTAATAATTAATTTTCTTTCATATCGAATGAGAGTGTAGTAATATAGAAAGAATTTTTTTTTTCTTTTTATTATAATGACTGCTTGAAATTAGACGTCTATTAATTCCTTTCACAAATGGTTGTAAGGAATTCATGTTGATTTTTATTTCGTAATACATAAATAGCTTCTAGAATTGCTACGAAATGTAATAGTTACGAAATATTCATAATCTCTACATACGAGTATAATAAAAGAAAGAGTATGTGTGTCTTTTCGTTCGTGCTGCGCGTAAGCCAATAGACCCAGGGCTACGAAATTTGGTATATAGGTGCATCTAGACAAGAGCCAGTGCACCTTGTATCGATTTTTTTAAAATTCGAATCAGATTTTTTAAAATTTTATCTTTTCGATTTTATAGTATCAATTTGAATTGTTTCATTCTTTTAGAAATGTAGTTTTGGCAACAGTTTTTTATTCAATTGTATACTGGACTGCTGACTGTTGAAAATCAGCACTGTGGCCACTTGAAAAAACGAGGGCGATAATTCTGTGCAGTTTTTAAATTTAATGTTTCTCTTGAATATTGAACGTTTGTTTAGAGAAGGCAATGGGAAGTTGGTTAATTTATTTATTAAGATAATTAATGTTTTCATTAAGGGATATTGCTTATTTCATTGTAATTTTCTTATATGTAATATATTTTTTTTAAAATTTGTTGGAGTTTTTTTTCATTAAGTTGTTCTGCAGAGTAAAATTCTGCGCAGTTTTTAAATTTAATGTTTGGTGTTTCCTTCAGGCATTTTCCGGTACATTTAAAAGCCAGACGAAGGCTCGCCGCGTAGCTGCTAGTCTACAGTAAATACGTAGTTTGTTTATAAATGCATATGTTTTTGCTGCTCTAATGAGTCGCCTGTTTTGTTTGTTGTTCATTTCCTTTTACGTCTATTCGCTTCAAAAATATGTTAAAAAAGAAGAAATAAAAAGAATTAACAAGAGAATGAGTGTATATTTGATTAATTTGATTCTACCTGTTAAAAGTTAATTTTGTTACTTGAGTTATATTCCCGTGAGCACTTGAGGTATATTCCCGTAATATCTGCTGCTAGTAACATCTCAATTAGGCCAACCTGACGTGCATGCCGTCTCATAAGCAAACCGCTTTATTTATTCTTATAAAATTCTTCCAAAAGGGTCTTGATCATCATATATATGTGATGTCATTTTACATTCCATCCAGAGGGATATTTAATCTGTAAGTAGAGGGATGAGTAAGGTAAGCTACTTCTTCACATGTGTTATTAATTATCTTCTTAATCTTGTTAAGTTGAAAATTTAAGATGGTAGCTATGATTTGACAATTTCAATAGGCATTTATTAAAAAAAAAGGAGGGAAATCAAGCAGTAGTTCTTTTATTATATTTGTTGTTTAGTGAGACTGAATATAATGATTTGAAAAATAAAACTTTCATGATTCTCACTTTCATTTTTGGATCCCAGAGCCAAGTCCAAAAATGGCGGCCGTTCCTTGCGAGAGAAGTTGGAGAAGATTGGCTTAAACTTACCTGCCGGCAGGCGGAAAGCGGCAAACGTAACTCTCCTTACATCTTTAGTAGAAGGTAAGATAGTATGGCATCTTCTATTGCATAAAAAGTGAAATATGTATTGCTTTGCTGTATTGTATTTATTGCTTTACCTGAAACTTTTGCTTAGATTTTGACACGCTGAACAAAAATAAGCCAGATAAAGGCAATATATTTTATATTTATATGTCTTAATTAAGTTTAGTTTCAACCTCTACAAAATAGTCTTCTTTCTACATCTATGCATAGATCTCAACGCTTGTACTGTAGAGTCATTAGGTTAATTGAAAGCAGGAAAGATGAAAAATATGCAACCGCCTTCGCCGGGAATCTAACCACGGACCTCTGAAATACCGGCTCAGTGTGCTGACCACTACACCACGAAGGCACGCTAGGGAAGCGGAAGAAATACCTAATATACTTCCCTTTTTAAAGGGCCAGTGGGGTTTTAGGGGACATAGTCGCCAAACCCTGGGTGCAAAGAATCATCATCCACAACCCTTTTACTTCGGGCGCCACTTGTAGAGTCGTTAGGTATTTTTTTTTTTTTTTTTTTTTTTTTTTTTTGGAAGCAGGAGTTATGAAAAATGAGCAACGCCCTTGCCAGAAATCGAACCACGGACCTCTGGAATACGCGCCCAACATGCAGACCACTACACTACGAAGGCATGTAAGGAGGCTGGAGAAATACCTTAGAGCACCATGACTGGAAAATCTTTTAGATATTTTTTAAACAAAATGCAGATATTCAAAACTTTGATTACGGAATTCGCATGCTATTTGGCCTGATTGTGCAATAAAAGATTGAAGCAACGACGTTTCAGTTATGATTTCGGCTGAGAAAATTATTAAAAGAAAAAAAAAAAAAATCTGAAAGGTTTCAGATTTTAAATTACGTCCAAAGGGGCGTTATTTTTCACATTTCGTGTGTTACCTTTATTTATTAAAGATTCTGTTCTTTGTACTTAAACCATAAAATTCAATTTAAGAGAAATATCGCAAAATAATTTTAAATTAAGCATATGTTTAGAATTTCCGATACACAGTCTCACGCGCTGGAGATAAAAATGTTTTTTCTGTACAACTTTGCCATTGCTCGCTTTGAAATCCTTGAGTTTGTTAATCAAAAATTCGTTAAAGTTTTACACAACATTAAATCGATAATAAAACAAATTCCAATTTTCAAATTCGGACTTCCAGATGCCCATATTCACAGTAGGCTTACGTCATTCAAAATTTGATGGCTCTAGGTATCGTTGTTTTATCACAGTGCGAAAAACATACATCATTAATGCAGATTCTTCATTATTTAATTTCTTCAAATATAATACAGGGCGATAATATTTGGTGGCAACAGTTTGAAAAAGGAAACGGACATTCAGAGTAATTCGACGCAAAATCGCAAAACGAAAACAATAGTCCCTCAGGGACAAAACCCCTTTCGACTAAAAAGAAAACGATGTCAGAAGGATTTTAAATCTTGATGATGAAAAATAGAACCCTCTAAGAACTTTGTTTCCGCAAAATACGACGGTTCTCAAGGTCGAGTTTCCTTCGAAATTCGATGATTAAAGGCTTTAATAGCGTTATATTGGTCCTGTAAAATATGATCTCCTCATTAATCATAATTTAAATCACTGAAAAGTAACAGAGATTAATTTAATTTGAAAAGAATTTTTTGATAATTTCTGAAGCGGTATTATATTAGGCAGGATGTCATAATTTGGCGATGTAGCATGATGGTCCTTCTCCTAAATAACCATCAACGTGGTAGTCGATAAATGAAGATCTGTAAGCCATTGCAATGCCCACCTTCGAAAACAACGATTCACGTAAACTTGTAGAATCAATAAATGATTTTATTTTGTATATCTCCAGGATGGGAAATTTTTTCTTATTAAGCAAAGTTCAGATATACTCGTCTGTTATATAAGATTTTACAAACGTTTAAAGATTCAAAATCTCTAACACCATAGTTTTTCTGTCTCATCTGTAGTAAGTTTCGAGGTAAATATATTTGTTTTCATTTAATTAAGAGTATTATTGAAACTAAATCATTTTTAACATGATTAACAACAAGGAACACTGCGAAGAGAGTAAACCAAGCCAAATCCGTCAAAGAACATCGATTTTGGATTTGTGATGTAAATAAGGGTGAGTGAGGTCAGATTTCCGAGTAAACCATCACTTCATTGGACGATTAATCACTCTTTTAAAGAGTGGATACCTACACATGTTTGTTTGTTTTTTTCTCTAAATTTCTTGTTGCGTTTTTCTTCGAAATAAGCGAATCGTCTTCATACTTTTACACAACGGAAACCACTCCTGAATTTTTGTTTTTATTTATATTTTTTAATTTGTTCTACTGGCGGTGAAGATGAAAACTAAAACAGCTCCTAGTGGAATAATTTAGCGGGAAAATCTAGTCGCCAATAGACTTTTCTTCAAATTTTAAGTTTGCGCTCCATCCGGGGTGGAGTTAATTGACATTGATAGATAAGGACAAACCAGTGCCTCATTTAGGCTCTTAAGAAGTGGCAACATTATGGAAAACGTTCTGTGGGATATCACATTCTGAAAAAAAAAAAAAAAAAAATGCAGGGCAACAAAAATTAAGGAAATGGCATCATTAAATGTGATATTTTTTGTAAAGATTATGTCATATGTAGAATAATTTTGTATAATTTAATGCTGTTTTTATACAATGTCCCAGAAACTTAAATCAAAAAAGATAATTAAACCTAATTTAATCCATTTTTGGTTTCCCTGGCCTATATGTAAGAATTGCTGAGCTAATAAAAGCAGCTGCTTTGTATTAATGGGATTTGATAGAAATTTTTTCGAGTTGCCTTTGAATCCATTTTCATGAGATATTCTACCGTTGCGACTTTTAATATTACTTAAGTTTAATGTTACTTAAGTTTAATGTTACTTAAGTTTAATTTATTACGACTTTTAATGTTACCTACGGAAACTAATCATTCAAAATTGTAATGTAATGTCTTCTTGTACGGATACGACAGTTATTACCATTATGAAATATTCATTTATATAAAGCATGCATTAGCATAAGATTACAGTATTGTTATATTAACTTTTATGTTTAAACATATACAAGCAATTAAGGGTGCTTTCGATAAGCATTTGATTTTGTTTAACAAAATCATTTTCACGACATCTAGTCTTTAATTCCTCGCTTCATTACGCATTCTAATAATAGTAAATTAGAGAATGATATCAGGTAAAGTTTCATTATGAATTAATTCTTGTAGTTCTCTTTTCTTTTTATTTTCACCTGCGCTAACCCCAGGATAGAATCGCTGAAATTATTCAATACTTAACGAGTCGGATAATTATTATCATGTAATTAAAGATGAATTACAATTATAAGGTCACCATTTCAGTTTTATCAATACAATTATGCTAATATTAATTACAAGTTTGTCCATTTAATCGTAATATTTTATGCTTTTGACTTGCATTACTTGCAATTCTCCGTTCTTTCGTTTAACGGTTGGTTATTATATGCCTCATTTTATGTTATTCTATATAAAATAAGTACATAGTAGAAAATGTTATATATGTTAATTCTCCTAAACATTAGTTTACGTGAGTTTTTCTGACTTTGATGCCTCATCGAAAAGTTCTTTAAAATTAAGAGTTATAATATCATTTCTGATAAAAAATAAGACATATTCAAAGCGATGTAAGTATATTATTATTATTATTAATGTTTTGGAATATAAGTAATAAAGGAAAAGGAAGTAATAAATAATATACAAGTAATAAAGGTAAGGAAATATAAGTTTTATTTTAATAAAAAGCAAAATCGACTTTTTCCGAGTAGTTTATAAATGCGAAAAATTTATTCTAGAATATCAGTTTTTAATCTTCTTAACATAGAGATGAATGATTTATAGAAATGAATGTGATATGTAACAAAAGAATAATTTTAAAGCCATTTTATTTCAAAGCCATTTTTGTGGAAAGAATATAATGTCATAATGTTCAATGTATGTGAATACGTGAAACAAGTTTAAGCCGAAAATTGATAATAACATTATCAATTAAATTTTAGTAAATATACAACGCTGATGGAACGAGACGGCTCCCGACCTAATGCAACTTAAGAGATGGCAAACAGGATTAATGCCGCCCCACCCTTGTTCAATCGACGATGTTGCGACCCCCCAGAGAAAAGGCAGACAAGGCAGTACCAGTACGGTCCCTGCCGAGCCTTACTCTATCCTGAGAGCCCTCAGGCCTTCTGTGAAGTCTGTTATTATGCCCCCGTGGTTGAGAGTAGGTACAGATCCTACCCAGTACTTCCCAGGCGTTCGCCTGAGTCAACCCCCGGGGGGTTAGTAAATATACAAATAGAAATCCGATTATTAATTCCTATGCCTTTGGAAGCACACTCGAAGCGTATTCGCGATGTCTGGAGTTCGAATCCTGGCGAGAGTATAGCGGCTATCTTCCACTTTCTGCATCAAGAAAATCCTAAAATAATGTATAGCAGCACCCGAGCTAAAAAGATCGTAAACGATAATTTCTTCCCGCTAGGATTTGGCGACTGGGTCCCTTAGTCTCCAGTCACTCTTTAAAAGAGAAAGTATATATGGTATTTTTTCCCTCATTCCTAGATGCCTTTGTGGTGTAACTGGATACACGTATTTGGAAGATCCGGAGTTTGAATCCCATCGAAAGCATTGCGGATTTTTTCAGTTTCCTGATCGAAAATATTCCAATGACTCTATAAGTGAAATTAATATCAATAGCTTTCAAATGAGAAAATCTGGACTATCAATCTCTTTTACAGATAAAATTTAGTACTGTGAGAAAACATTTCAAATGAAACAAAATTTCGCATGCCGAGAAATATGTTCCTTACAAGTGATTTTAATTTCCATCAGTTATATGTACCCATTGGTCAAATACATAAGAATTTAGTAGTAACACGGTCTCAATTTTAGGTGATATAATCTTTAACTAAGCGCTGGTTATTTCTATCCTAGTAATCCGAGGATTATGCTTTCGCAATTTATGCTCATTGCAAAAGCACTGGACAGTATTCACTTGAGAATAAATCTTTTCCCACAAATTCATAGCTGCCAACAGATCTGAGAGCCCTTTTGGCAAACAAATCGCCACGATATTTTGCAATTGCTGGCTGCTGATACCTTGTCTTCGTGAGGTGTTGCGTTATGCTGTTGGAACATGTCCCGTGATATTGCAGGTTTGCATAGTTGGACAACCAAGTAGAGCGACTCATCATATTACTCTGCAGTCATTGTTCCGTTGAAAATCAGAAACTGTTAGCTTTTTGTGCTGAAAGTACACCAAGCTACGATTAAAGTTAACGATTTGTGGGACTCCTATTAGCAGCAAAATGACCGTCCCAATTAAATGTGGCACCCAGATTCTCAGTCAGTGATCTCATTGATCATTAGTGCTCAGACAAAATCGAGGTCATCATTGTACCCATTGGCCACCTGGGGGTATAAGGTGTTTTCTCCCTCCATTCTGAATACCTTCGTGGTGTAACAGTAGCACACTCGGCGAGTATTCAAGAGGTCCAGGTTCGAGTGCCGGCGAGGGCATTGTACATTTTTCACGTCTCCTGCTTTTTTTTTATCTAATGACTCTACAAGGGTGCTACACTACTAGCATTGACGACTGTAGTTTGATGTTAATGATGGACGTATAACTAACAAATATGCTTCAACTAATCGACAAGAAATCATTCTCGTTGACATTGGAATAACTTCAGACTCCTCTAAAAAATTCAGTAGCTGTAAATTGTAGGGCAAGTATTGCATCGTTTTATGCAATATAACTTTCATATTGATGTTTTATATCCGGTATGAGTCATGTTTTCATCTTTTACATATTTTATAGTTGTTGCGTTTACATCACAGTATGACAGATGATAGGCAACGGAGGACGGGTGAATTTGGCGCTTACCAGAGATCAGTAAGCAGGTGTATGTCCCTCGTCCTCCACTGTCCAGCATTATTCAAAAATTTAAGAATTTAGGTAAGTTTATGTGGCCATACAAGGGTTAGATGGCAATATGATGGCTACTTTTTTGGAGACAAAGGATTCAAGAAACATACTGAAATGCCATAATATAAAACACTTGAAACCTGACGAAAACCTGAAGCCACAGTATGACACGAAAACCAACGTGTTGAAGGTTCCGGTGCTTAAATCTTTGATGTACATAGGTTGATATTTAACCTTCTGATCTCATTGACAAAAGCCTTCTGGAAAGCGCCTCAAACTCACTTTTACCTCTAAATTTCTGAGACAGAAAACAGCAGGAAGAAAAACAACAATTGTGAATGTTTATGGAAACCTTAAAACTTTCTCCAATTTTATTTATTTATTATTTTCAACTTTTATACTAATAACTAGAAACTACAAAATTTCGCATAGCAGATTGAACTAAATACAACCTTGAATTTGCACAGTACTGAGAAAAAAATTTAATAGTGTTGCATTTTCTTTTTGAAATAGTCAAATATATCAGCTCTTTTATCTACAAAATATTCAGTTAAATACTTCTGTACGTTTCAAGTTATGTCTTCCTATATGTTCAAATTCAACTATGTTTTTCTTATTAGTTTCATGAAGTGTTTTTTAAGTTTATTGTTATTATTGTTTTTATTTATTAGCCGAAATTTTTAAGTTTTTTCTTTTCTACTTCCTACTCCTTGAAAAACTCCTTCGATCCTTTTTATATCGTCATTTGCTTCCTGTCGTTAACTTTCTTAGCGTAGTTTATAGCGATTTTTTAGAGTAATGGTTTCCCGGGTCGTTAAGGAATCTTGTGACTTGAGCTTAAACTTATTAATTTAAAAATGTGTTACCAACAAAGAATTTTTTCTGTTAATTTGGTATGTAGTTATATACATACAACACTTGATTATCATAAAGTTTAAACTTTTATGCTGTACCGATAATTAAGCATTTCTATCTTATTTTGTGACCAGGTGAAGCGATTCATTTGGCGAGGGATTTCGGGTATGTGTGCGAAACGGAATTTCCTTCACGCCAAGTTGGTGAATATTTATGCAGAAACCACAGCGATCCCAGTGAACTTTACCGGAGAAAAGAATTATTCCTAGCCACGAAGTAAGTGTGCTTGTTACTTTTCTTTCTGTTACTAATTCTCCTGATCCTAACCTCAGCCAGAACAGATTTACAAATTTGATGCTGGTCAAGACGCGAAGAGTAGCGCCTGCTGTTGGCTTAGGCCAGGGTTTCCTAAACCTTTTGGTGTGGGGAACCCATAATAATTGCGGAAACTTTGTGGTACTCCAATAAGTATTGAGCAAACTCGACACACGCATGAGTGAAACTGCTAGTTTCTTCACTTGTGCTGTAATATACTACTGCAGACTTAGGCATTAACTTTAATTTTTTAAGTAAAATGAACGTTTATATTATAAAAAATGCGTTGAAACGTTTTCGTTTTTTCTTTATCTGTATTGTCTTATTTTTATCTGTTTTCAAATACATTATGCAAAAATGTTTGGTAGTAAAATCATTATAATAAGTTAAATATCAAAATTGCTAAAAGTTTTGGCAACCCCCTACTGCAGGCCCTTGAAGAAACTCTCAGGAAACGGATCCAAGAATTTCTGACCCCTCTTACCCTATTGCCAATTTCTAGAAAGGCCAGTAAGTTCCATAGTATTTTAAGAGTCCTTATGTCTCAAAAACTCTATACAACTGCATACATCTGTGCCTTCTTCGTGATTCGAAGACGGCACAGACACTTCGGTCCAAAGCTATGGAAATCGGCTTCTCTTGCCAGTAACAATGGAATGGCAGTTTTCTTGGTTTCATACAAGTGATTAGTCTCTCTTGCCAGTAACAATGGAATGGCAGTTTTCTTGGTTTCATACAAGTGATTAGTCTCTCTTGCCAGTAACAATGGAATGGCAGTTTTCTTGGTTTCATACGAGTGATTAGTCATCTGACTTATTTGAAATGCATATTAGTATATGTCTAGTCATCGAAAAAATATCTGCTACGAATTCCAGGATGTCAGGTTATCCACGATGGTAACATAAAAGAGATATGACGCAAATGCACAGGAAAGTTATACAAAAAGAAAGTGAGATTAAAATCTACTACACAGTTAAATCTTCTCAGCGATTCACACTGAATTTTTTTTAACAGTTACTCTCTATTATTAATTTTATGCGCTTTCAAGGACTGTAGCAACAGAGTATTTTAAAAATGCTGATGAAATTATGTAAGCTGGTTGCCTCTACAGTATGGTAGTAATTTTACCATACAGTATACGGGTTTTTTTATGCTGACACTGTCTTTCGCGTATGTTAACCAGGCGGAAATAAAGAAAGATCCTGGGATCTAACTATGTGAACTTACTGTAAACAAAGATTTCATGCAACGGTTCTTTGGATGAGATGCTGAAGGAAACTTTTGTCAGGTCTGATAACAGTTTTCGCTGCTGAGTCTTTGAAAATTAAAAAGATTCAAATTTTCCCCTTCTCTGATGTACCGACGCCAGACTTTACCAAGTCGTTAAAGGTTCAAACCATGTCCTATCATGAAATAGCGAGTATCACTGATGAATTCTTTACAAGCTTTGAGAACTAACACATGAGTGTGGCAGGATCTTACTGGAGAATCTACATCTGCTGCCATTGTTTTCTGGGAGCTTCTTAAGAAAACATTTGAGATGTGTGAACAACGAGGTAAAACTGAGCTCTCTGCATGAGAAAAAGTATGCAGCTTGTCTTTCAGAAGCATAAGCTGATTAAAATTATTAATACATATATAACACTTATTATATATTATTGCTATTTTATTCAATTTTCATGAATTTAATTTATATGCAATAAGCAGCCATTAGTTGTAATCTGTTTATTGAATTAAATATAAATTATAATAAGAAAACTGATATCAGTTTTTAAAGTTGTCGCTGAGAAAAGCTAAATGTATTATAGTTAATACACTTGTAGTTGATATTACGACATATCTTTCTTATGATTTTACCCAATGGCTGATTTTTTTTAATGTTATTTTTCGTTTCTTTTTTTTTTTTTAAGATTAGTTCTCATGCGTTGACTTTTGATCTTGAAAACTGACAAAAATGAGAATATTGAACAGGAATTTTAACCTCCCGTGGTTGCTAAAACATACTTAAAGAACCAATGTTTCATGCTGAATATTTTATTTGTTTTTTTTATGAGTTTAATTTGGTTTAGTTATTCATTTAACATATGTTCTTGTCTTTATATTGAAATTTAGTGTTTGCACTAGCAGTCCCACTGAATTTGATGCACATTGACAATATTATTAAGAATCGAAATTGAATCATCGTTAGCTTAATGTATGCTGAGTAGTTTTATACTGTTAATATTCAATACAGTGACTTTCCTCTGAATACAATTAAATTATATTATATATTTGGCATTTCTATATATACTGAGCCTGTGATGCTTTATAGTAAATCTTTGACGCGGGTTAATATCGTAACAGTTTATAATTAAAAAAAAGCTGGTTTTAAATTTTTTATTTTGCATTTTATTACATAACACAAATTCTCTCCAACTTCAGAATCTAACATAGAAAATCTCAGTGCAATTTCAAATCAATGAAACATACCCTTTGTTTGAAACAATGAAGTGTTATTGTACGACAGTCCGTTTACTGTTCTTCCATGATCATTAAAATATGTATTACTTGTGCGATTATTTATCGTGTAATATGAATAACATTATAGATCTAAAAGCACTACTAAATATTTTTTCACATAGGTTAATCTAATTTATACAGTAGTAAGCGGTCTATAATAATTTAGTAATTAATATTTGTCATTTTGCTATGGGATATTTGTTATCAGTTTGTTTGAAAGAAGTTACGAAATTCTGAATAACTTTATCGTATTTTTTCTTACGACTGGCAACTCATTTAATTTCTTTATCATATTGCATATATTAGAAATAACATTATAAAGTTTCTAAAAATTTCAAAAATTTATTATAAATTCAATATTTATTATGATGTTAAATATTTATAAAATTTTACTCATTTCAGGCAAATTATGAAGGAATTTGTAGATCTCTTAAATCAAGACCGCTCTCCGTTGTGCAACACAAGGCCTCAGAACATTCTCGAACCTAATATACAGAGACATCTGACGCACTTTTCTCTCATAACGCACGGTTTCGGTAGCCCGGCCATCGTTGCCGCGCTGACTGCTGTCCAGAACTTCATGAATGAGTCTCTCAAATATCTTGAGAAACAGCTAAACTCTTACCAGACATCAGGAGGAACGCATGTTCCTGGAGTAGACACTAAGAAAGAGGACCAAAAGAAATGAAAGTGTACCAATTTGAAACATATACTCGGAAAAAACAAATGATCGAAGAAAGATTATGTTGGATTTCTGAGTCTTCAACTAGTCTTTCCAGAAGACTCGGGCTTATGATACTTAGAACTTGTTGGGACGTACCCTCCTGGTACTTATTTCACCATTCCCGTCCCAATTTCAATCACTTGATGAGAAAGAGGAGATTATAAATAAGTTCTCAGCATAAGATGAAAGAGCCTGGACGCAAAAGCTGGCACACGTCAACAAGATCTAAATGGACTACGTTGGGGACCTAGAGGATAGAAAGTCCTGTTGACCAGGATGAAAGATATGTTCTCCAAAGCCAAAATATCCTTCTTGTAAGGAGTCGTTATCATTCAGTTGCCAAATTGACGAATTTTGTCTCCAAATTCATATGTAAAGACTAGTTTGCATCATGTGCTGTTCCATGAACAAAAAGATATCTGTATGTGGCCAAATCCCTACTGACGACATATTTCTACCGTTTCATAAGGTGGAATGTTGCTCATCTGTTGTCTATAGTGGCAACATGATTAGTTTTAGAACATTTAGAAAGATACTTTTCTCTTTCAATCTCCTATAAGTGGGGGCTTGTATAATATTGAGCTAATTAACATGTATTGTAATTTATAAATTGGATCTAATTTTTTAATCCTAGTTGACTTCTAAACAAAATAAGGCAGTAGTATTTAAATTGAAGTATTCGAATGGTTTTTTTTTCATTGTTATTTTCATAGTAAACATATGAACGAAAAATGTATTATATTAAAAACTTGCCGTTGATCGCATTAAAAAGAATATCTTTATGTGAAAATAGTGTAAAGCGATTACATCATTCAAATATTTTCGGAATATATATTTCAGTTTTATTCATATGAAATTTAAACGTATATCAGTAATAATGTTGCATAAAACTGTCATAAAATTTTTGTTGTGAAATCTTACGAAAAATGTTAAAACACATTTAGATATTCTTCGCCATTGGTTCAGATGGTCATGTGATTATTTTCAAAGACTTTGTCAAAAGTATTGGCTCTGAAAACACTACACTGTAATACTGCTATGCATAATGCAAGACATACTATAATTTATGAAGTTATTAAGAATTTTATTTATTTATTAAGGATATTAATTAATAACATGCATATTTTTTAAAACTTTCGGCATATTTGAATAAAATGTTTACTGTTTATTTAATAAAACACCGATAAAAATTTAGAAAAATTAATATCTGAGATAATTAAAATTTATCTCAAAAAGAATATTTATTTAATTAATTAATCAATACCCTGATCCTTATTATCAATTACCTACAATATAAATGCCCGAATATTAATTAAAATATTTCTGTTATTTAATTTAATTAATTAGAAATATGAAAAATTAATAAAACATTTGATCGAAACGAAATGCTGAAGTACATTTAGATTTTTAAACATTCGGTTTTTCGACTTCTGGAGTAAACTCTAAATCCCTTTATGTATCTAAAATTTATTCATTTCCTGGCAAACGTTTTTGACGAAAATAATCTTATTTCATTATCATACGCTTCTTATTTCTTGAAAATTATTTTTAGGAGTTTGCTAGTAATGCAAATTTAACATTAATGATAATTAAACATTAATGATAATTAATTTAACATTAATGATAATAAACATTAATGATAATTAATTAAACATTAATGATAATTAACATTAATGATAATTAAACATTAATGATAATTAAACATTAATGATAATTTAACATTAATGATTAATGATAAGAATATTTATTTAATTAATTAATCAATACCCTGATCCTTATTATCAATTACCTACAATATAAATGCCGAATATTAATTAAAATATTTCTGTTATTTAATTTAATTAATTAGAAATATGAAAAATTAATAAAACATTTGATCGAAACGAAATGCTGAAGTACATTTAGATTTTTAAACATTCGGTTTTTCGACTTCTGGAGTAAACTCTAAATCCCTTTATGTATCTAAAATTTATTCATTTCCTGGCAAACGTTTTTGACGAAAATAATCTTATTTCATTATCATACGCTTCTTATTTCGAAAATTATTTTTAGGAGTTTGCTAGTAATGCAAATTTAACATTAATGATAATTACTTATCACTGCTTTTAACAATTTAAGCCCCTCATGAGATCCAGTCTGAATTACACAAATTTTGCATTCTCATAATTAGATCCTGTAACAATCATGCATTTAAAATCATTGTATTTTTGTTCCAACTTATTTTCATAGTGAAACATGCAATTTCGACACATCGCTAAAGTAACACTTTTGAGAGGAACAACATTTTTTAAAAAATCATTGCTATTATTTCCGTATTAAAAAGTACGGTAGTTACTTTCCGAATATATATTAATTCTTCCGACTACAAAGTCTGATCGACTGAATTTTTACAGACATCTACCGAAACACTGATTCCAATCATATGTAACTGAAGTTTTTACCTGTTGACAAGGAAAATATGAATTATTGCTTTTAGTAGCTGTAAAGGGATGATCATCGGAAGGCGATATTGGTTAGAAATCAATTTTAACTAACTGAAACAATTTAAAAAATAATATCCAAATAACGCAGTTAAAATTTTCTTTCTGTGATTTTTAAATGCCTTTTAAGCAAAAGTTATTTCTTTTCATGCTTAATAACTGACTTTTATAAAATCAAATATATAATACGCATCTGAGATGTGTATTTTGATTTACAGATATTTTGTTTTCCTATCATGTTATGCTCAGGAATAATTAATTCATGTTTTTGCCCAGATCGTATGCAGAACATAGTTTTCTTCTCACCTACTTGATATTTAGTTTCATGAAGGCTATCCTCCACATATCAGTCAGTTAGTTTTCAGCCGTAAAACATACTAATGCAAATATTTTACTAATCTTGAAATGCTATGTGAAAATCTAAAACTAAAACAAAAATATCATATGAAAAACGAAAATATAAAACCTGTTAAACTGATCAAGAAACACGTGCAATAATATACAGGCTTTGAAGAGAGCTTCATATGTACATGAAATGGTAAACTTATTATCCCGGGAAATATAGAGTAAAAGTCTTATTGTAATGATAAACTATTGTAATGCATGGATGATTTTGACATTTTGGCCAGTTAACGATACAGTATTAAAATAGTAAATTAATTATTGTTGATTTCATCAGAAAAGGCTGACTTATCATGGAATTATTAGCCTTTCTACGTAAATCAACAAATATATATTAGATAATTTATTAGTAATATACTATGAAATACGCTTTGCTAATTAAATTTTGAACTATTTTAATGTCAGATTTTAGATTCATTGTTCACACTTTCTTTTCATTTATATTATTTTTTTATTTCTTTCTGTGCGTAAATTTGTAGTGGTTCTGGCTTAAATTTTTCTTCGATTCTTTTAATGCAAATAATTCTAAATATCTGAAAGTGGTATCCCAGCCTATCCTAAAATTCAAAAGATTGGGATAATTGGATAGATCTTTCCTTTACATCAGTTGCGTATTTATTACAAATGTATAATTCAGTAATTTTTTTATTTCACAAAATTATAAAACTAAAATATAAATTTAATTCTTCTCTCCACCCCTCCTCCACCAAAAAGACAAATTTAAACATCGGAACTTTTTATTTGGTTAAACATCAAAGCATTATTACGTGTATAATTCAGTAATTTTTCTTATTTCACAAGATTATAAAGTTAAAAATTAAATTTAATTCTCCCTCCCCCCCAAAAAAAAGACAAATTTAAGCATCGGAATTTTTTATTTGGTTAAACATAAAAACGTTATTTTATTTTTGACGTTTAATAACAAAACAACAAATTTCGAAATATAATTCACAGCTCCGTAAAATATATTCACCCTATTTTATGTAATTTAAGGCGAAGGCCAATTTAAAACATTCTGATGAATCTAAAAATAAGTTTAGTTTAAGTTGGCTGAAAAAAATCAGTGAAACATTTTAAAATTAAACCTTAAATAAATTTAAAAGCAAATTTACTTTTAATTGTCTAAAAATGTTCAGAAATCAACGAAGAAGTTAAGCGTACATCATTCTGTTTATTTGCTAGCTCTTTGTTCATTAAATAAACTTAAAATCACTTTAAAGTAGGTACTTAAGTTTTTAACTGTTTGGTATAAATTTACTCAACTGGAGTAGTAAAACAATAAAATCAATAATGTCAGCAAAAGAATTTCAATTATAATTGATACTGACATCAAGACAGTCTAAATTTACTTTATTTATTTATTTTTAATCGAAGAATCGGAAAAGCTTAGGATTTATCTGCCACATAAAAACAACGATAATTTTCTAGTGCTAATAAGAAAATGTCTATTTTATACAGTCTGAAGAACTTGGCTCTTGGCTGAAAAGATTTATTACATGATATATCATTAGTCACTGTGTTAGGTTCCGCTTTCCGGTACTTAAATGGAATATACTAATCAAACTAATCATAGCTGGTGTTCTCCATACATTAAACTTAATTCTTTACTATCTTAATTAAACTAATTCTAGGCCTTTGAGGGATGCAGAATTGAATAGTTTAAACAAAATATAGTTTTTCAGTCGAAATATATTTGGGATTTTAAAAACAAAATATTTAAAAGCATGAATAATTTACATAAACTATGTTTTTTCTTTTCTTTTTTTAATTTAAAAGCATTGGTGATCAATTTTAAAACCCACTAGCATTTGGGGCAGTTTATGTGGTGTTAAAAGGATATTTTTTCTGTTTTTGATTTAATAATTATGAAGCTGTTCAAAGGGTAATTGGTTTACACTAAGGCAGCTCTATGCTTTAATATTTATCTCTGTTCCTAAGAAGTAATAAACAACTTATCTGCTATATAATATGGACATCTGTGACCTTTTAATGCTTATGCTTTTTATATAAAACCATTTTTAACATCATTTAGATATAGTCAACACTTTCAGATTCATCATATTAATAAAGCAATAAGTTTATGCTTTATTCCTCCTCAAACTGTTTTAAAACTTCACAAAGCAGAAAAGCATCTATAATATTATAAATTTAAAAAATGATGAGAAATGCGGGAATTTAATTCACTTTTTTGGACTGTTGTAAAATGATTGAAATCATTTCTAGAAATGAATGAAATGAATGCAAAAAATGTTATCTTTTTTTTTTTTTTTTGTCATGTAATATATTTATTTTTTGCTGAAATAAAATGAGATCAAAATATGTAAATCAAAAATATTTATGTTCCTTTATTTTTATTGAAATCATCTGTATTATGTGTATGTTATATTTCTCATTATTCATTATTTTTAAAATACCTAACCATTCATTAGTTTATAGTAAATTAATCTTGTTTTCTTTTAGTCGAAATTATTATTAAAAAATGTGTAAAGCAAAATGTTTGTTAGTTTCCTTCTGTGTGTTTTACTTAACGCTGTAACACAAATTTATAAATATATACAATTAGTATAAAAGCAATACTTGAAGTTCTTTCTGACAATATGGGACTCAAACGTTGTTAATTAATTATTCGTGAGTTCTAAATAACATTAATAATAGTCTCATATTGCCAAAGAACTACCCAAATTTTTGTCACTGTCAATTATAAGCAAAAAGGCAAACTTAAAATCAAACTAAAATGATTTGCAAAAGTATATAACCAAAATATACAGAAAGCTAGAAAAAGTGTGCAAAAGTACGTTCGAGAGCATATTCATTTTTAATTATGAAAGCGATCGAAGGAGTTCTTACCGTACAACAATAACAAATAGCTAAGCTCAAAAATATATGTAAAACATACATACCATGTAATATATAACAAAATACGATGGCCGCTTTAAAAAAAGTAATTGTTGACCTCAAAATTAACATTCTAGATTTGGTGATCTTCCCCTAAATCATCTGTTTTCCCAAATTCAGATTTTTCTATGTTACGTAATGTTTTAATGCAGATACCTCATGTCTAATCAAATTAATTCTAAACCAAAACTTTCTCTAACTCGAAACTATCAACTTCCTCCCTTCTTCCTTTGAACTGCTGCGTTCTCTTTCGCTTACGCTTTCGTACTGCAACTGGCTACTTTTCAGTGCTACTGCTTATTTGTCTAAGATGACGCCGTAGCTTTTTATTTGTCTATATAAAAATTATTTGTTTTCAACTATGATCGAAAAGTAATTTGTCTGCCAAAGAAATAATTTTTGATGTGCCTAAAAATAAATTATGGTGATTCGCCGAAATTAGTTTTATCAACGTCCTATTTCTGCCTTATCCACCCAGCCATATCTACAGCCAGAAGTTAAAAGTACCGGATTTATGACTGCGCATTTAGTATATTACATATATATAATTTATTTACTAAATAATATTGATTATATTATCTCCTAAGATTCATACAACATTATTTATATATACATATGTTTATTGTACTATATAAACAATATTTTTGGATTATGGTATGTGTGTGTATGCAAATAATTTTGTAAATTTCTGGATGATTAGAAGTTAACTGCATAGATGCGTAAAGTGGCATTTATAGACAGATCTAGTTGAAGACAAAACTCAATTTATTTCTGGACAACCAATTCTTGAGATACACATTC